CCCCCCCCCCCCCTATTGCATGTATTGTGTGCGAGTACTCCGTGGGGGTAGACTTGGTAGCTAAAGATAGAGTAAAAGATGATCGAGTAACCATAACCAATCAAACCCTAAGCGTAGACCTGATAGTAGTTAGCATGATAGACTTCTATGTAATACTAGGCATGGATTGGTTAGCTGAAGACTACGCTAGTATAGATTTTCGTAAAAATGAAGTGATATTCTCACCGTTATTTGGACCCAACTTTAAGTTTAAGGGTACATGCATTAGGACTACCCAAAGGTAGTCTCAATGATGGGCTAAGAGACTAGTTCAACTAGGGGTTTGACTATATTAGCATGTGTGGTAGATGTAAGAGAAAAGGAAAAGAACCTAGACACTATACTAGTTGTGAACAAATTTCTAAAAGCTTTTCGCAAGACCTACCAGGAATACCCCCTTCCCAAGCGGAAGACTTTGCCATAGAACTTGAGCTGGGAACTGGGCCTATTTCCGAAACACTCTATCGCATGGCGGCAGCAAGGTTGAAAGAACTCAAGGTGCAGTTACAAGGCCTACTGAACAAAGGATTCGTCCGACTTTGCGTATCCCCTTGGGGTGCACTGGTGTTGTTTGTCAAAAAGAAGGATGAATGGATGTGTCTGTGCATCGATTATGGAGATCTAAATAAGAGGACAATAAAAAAAACAAGTACCTTCTCCCTCACATAGAAGACCTATTTGACCAACCTAGGGAGGCCATGGTATTTTCCAAGATAGACCTTCGGTCAGGGTACCATCAAATCAAGATTAAAGAAGGAGATGTACCAAAAACAATGTTTAGAACAAGATACAGTCACTACGAGTTTGTGGTAATGTCGTTTGGCCTCACCAATGCTCCAACTGTGTTTATGGAATTAATGAATTGAGTGTTGCTCATTAGTGTTTATAGACGACATCCTAGTATACTTGAAAATGGACAAAGAACAACTCCGAAAAGTTCTAACAACCCTAGGAGAGAACAAGTTGTACGTCAAGTTCTCAAAATAATGTATGAATCTTATTGTGATATAATATAATTATAATGTCTATTATGTTTTAAATTCTCTTTATTCTATTATTTCATGAATAATTTGGCTGTCCTTTTTAGAGTCATCGAGTATCGGTCCTTACATAACAAATGTGTCAAGAAGCACGTCAGACTTATTAAGTTGAATTTGTTCCTCAAAATTGAACTCGTATATATAGGGTCATTTTACCCCTTTAGCTTAACCTCAATATTTAGAGAAATTCTCATGAGTAAGTTGAGAGCCAAGAAGGTATGGATCAAGCTAATCAAATGAGGGAAGATTTGGATATATTTTCGATTAAGAGAATTTGGAAGCCAAACTTGTTTCATCAAGAGATAGTAAGCTAAAAGTGAGTGAAACATGAGAACCCATACGAGTTTCAAAAGTTGGTACCAAACCCAGAAAACAAAAACTTGACTTTAACATTCTCCCTAATTTTTTTAATAATAAGGCTTGAAATTGGTTTCATTGAATTCATACGAAGTTCTACAACTCTATAGTAAAATCCACGTGGAATGAATGCTTGAAAAATATAAACTCGAAGTAGTATTTTCAATCATTAGAATTTAGAAAAAATGATGAGAATAATATAGTCCATCATCATTACTACAAATGTAACGACCCGAAATTTTTCTACTTAATTTAAGGTTGCTGCTGTATACATATCATGCACATTGAATGCGTAAAGACTTCATTTAAATTCTATAAAACATAACTTTTATCTTAAAACACAGTCATGAACTTATGTGTAAAACACCTTTAAAAAACGACATAACAAAAGGCTAAATAAAATAAATAAAGGTTTAAATTAAAAACATCCTATTCTAGCCTAAGTCTAAGAAAATACATCAATTTTATAGTAAAACAAACCCTAAACCCTATGCATGTGTCATGGTCTCGAGTTGCGCCGCCGTCATTAACCGTACATGAATGTCTTGCCTTAACCTGAAAAATATAGTAGCACATGACTTGAGTATTTAAAGAAATACTCAGTAAGTGACCTAAATATTGGGGGTTAAATGTAAGAACATGCTATGACGGGACCTATCCTTCCAGTCTATTTTTCTACGGTACTATCCTAATGGGTAACTTGGATGTGTACCGTATACTCTACACACAACCCATACGTTCGAGTATAGACTCACCAGTCAGTTCGCACACCGCTGGGCCACTTTTTTTGTCGGGTGATCATACTCTAGTAGCTTATTAGGTTGGACACCCGTTAGAACTAGTAACCGTCACAGCAACATTAGGTTAAATATAATGATTATTCTCCTACCTGACCGTCGCAGCATTATGATAAACATAATGATCGCTCTCTTGCTTGGTCATCACAGCATTATGATAACCATAATGATTGTTTTCCTGCCTCGTAACGTACGCGTTTGTACTATCGTGAAGGGTAAGGGGTATTCCTCAATACATGAACACACAATAATACATGAGGTCCCAACATTTTTTTTCCATTTTCATTATCATTTAATACAACCCTGCTAGCGTTTCGTACATATCATATCGTATTTCATATCATTTCACAGTTTATTTATCATATCATTTATTTTATATTTCATGGATACGTTGGGGTTGTATTTCATGCTAGTTCTTTGTTTTGCATGTCAATCACATCATATTATTCAAATTACATAACTATATCATATCATAACATTCGATGCTTATAGACATAATAATATTCATCATATACATGTCATACCATAACATATTACGTAATTTACTAAAACTTCTCACAAAATCTTATTGATTCTAGAGTTATTTCTACCTAACAAAAAAAACCTAATAATTCGATAAGGGAAAAATATAAAAATTGATTTCTTACCCCAAACTGAACAAAGCAAAAACGAGATCTGAAATATAACTTATAAAGATGTGAGTTGAGGAGAGATTATTGGAAAGGGATTATCTTTAAGAGATGTGAGATGAGTTGACTAGAGATTATTGGAAAAGAAGGGTTATTTATTTATTTATTTATTTATTTATTTATTTATTTATTATTATTTAAATAATAATAATTTTTATTTATTTATTTTTTTTTTTTAGGCTATTACAATCAAGATTTATTATTTTTTTTTATTGGGTGTTTATAACTTAAATGGAAAGAACTTTTATTCAATAAAATGTTCATAACACTATTTATTTTTTTTAAAGATTTTTGAATTTATAATTGTTTGTGAGATCATAAATACTGGAAAACATTATTATTATATTTATCTTTTAGTTCATACTTATATTTTATTATATCTAAAACAAAAATTATTTAAAACCTAACCTTCTTGCGCATAAGTAAAAATGTCTATTATTTATCTTTTGACACTAATACATTTTTTTCATATTTGATTATAACACAAATTCTCGTTTTTCAAAATCTGAGTTTGAGAGACTATTTTGATCATGCGCAACACATCCCTTTGCTCCAATCCGAACACCTTTCACAACCAGCCCTCTCTTCCAATGCCCTTCATGTTCATAAAAGCCAAATTCAATCTCATCTGCTTCCACAACCATGGTTATCTACCTTGAACTCAATAACAATCTCAAACCACTGGTTTTTTTTGTTTATTCTCTTAATTTAAAATTATAAAATCGAGAACAATATATAATTTTTTTTTTTTGGATGATAATAGTAATTGATTCACCAACATGTAACTAATTTTTATTATTGTTAAAAATATATTAAATAGTGTATTTAATTTTTTTAAAGTCTCGTACCAAAAATAAAAGTAATTTTCTTTTGTAAATGTTTTTAATTACTTCTTGCTTGGGTGGTCGTCCTAGTATATGCTACTTTGGTTGTGCTATAACTAGATGGATGTTCTTGCAATTGCTCCTGCTTTTTCGACCACCAACTCTCCGTTTTAATCTTAATGTGATATAAAAGTTTAGAAAGATTTTACTACTTTTCGAAAATGAATTCATCCGATGATTATTTTTAATTATTTTGGAGGGAGGAATGCCTTTTGTCTATGAAATTTGTTTTTATATAAAACTATGAATAAATTATAAAAAAAAATAAAAAGGAACTATTTATGCCTTAAAAAGAAGATTCAAGTATTTATATTATTTTCTATTTATGATCCTCAAAATACATTTTAATTCTTTTAAAAGATATATTTTACTTTTCATTTACCCTTTGTGTTTTGAAAAAATAATTAACAATTTTTTTTAAGTAGAAAATAACATCTATTTTAATTATTTATAAAAAAAAATGACACATCCTTCTATTCTATTTGACATACGAAAAACATAAAACTAGAACGGTTATTTTGTTGAAAGTTAGTTATAATTTTTTTCTAGCAATATTTATGAGTTGATATTGTGCATTAATCACAATTATTTATGAAGCCAAATAAATAAATTAAATTAAAAACTAATAATTTATCTGTGATACTGTGAATTTAAATGTTAACCGAATTAAAGAGAAAAAAAATACATAATACAGATAAGAGAAAGAAAAGATTTGGGAGAAAATTAATTAGAATACAATAAAAATACAAAGAAAAAACGAAAAATACAGAAAAGATTCGTAAACAAGAATTAATTAGAATACTAAAAAAAATACATAGAGAAGACTATAGACACTCCAGAAATACTTGTTAACAAAATCAAAAGAAAAGAAGAAAAATACAAGAGAAACAAAATCAAAATAAATAAATAAATAAATAAAAAAAGAGAAAATACATAGTTTACAATCAAAAGGAAAGAAATAAAAGAGGAAATACAGAAAAGAGAAAAATAAATAAATAAATAAATAAAGAGAGCAGGAAAGAGAGGAAAAGAAGAAATGTAGAGAATGCCAAAATACAAAATAAAATAAAATAAAACATAGAAAGAGAAAAATTGACAATAATATCTCTAAACAAAAATTAAGAGATAAAGTAAAGTAGACAAAGTAACCCTTCAAAAAAAAAAAAAAATAGATAATGAAATCTTAATAAAAAAGAAATATATATATATTTAGAGGTATATTATAACGCTCCAAGACTTTATTTATGTAAAGTCTTTAATGCTCGCATGAATTCTAGCACATGAACCATTATAAAAGTTAGAGAATTGAACGTGAAATTGATGTCATGAATTCATATAGGTTGACTAAGATACAAAGGACAAAATCGAACTTTCAACAAGGATAAATTGGTGACACGAGTATAAGCTAATCAGGTAAGTGGCCTATAGCTATAAGATAGGCTAAAAATTGTATGAGTTATAATGATGTATGAGCTGTATCGTATGATGTCGTATGAGTATACGATGATGTATGAGTTACGATGCTTGATGATGTTCGTAGTATATATATTTCGATGAATGACGTACTTGATATGCTTGATGAGTATGATGATTGCGTGACGTTTACCTTAATATGATGATGTTTTCCATATTCAGCATGCTATATGATGATGAGATTCATATTGTCTCATGTCGTTAGATTGACATAGGACACAACCCTAAGAGCATGAAAACGATATTAATACAAATATCCACGAGTATGTGTTACCTAGATTAACAAAGAGATGAGACTAGAGGGTTGGGTCAGAAGAGACATTATGATAGATTTAGAAGGACCTCATGCATATTGTATGTTGATAAGCATAATGCTACTTCCCCTAGAGATGATGAGTGCGGACGCGCACAGTATAATGATGAGTGCGAATGCGCACAGATGAGGGTGTTCATGAGGCACATGACATTATGGGGTTCGCTGACCTCCATACGTCGCTACAGATTAGCTTGACCAGAGGGTTCAGGGGGTGTGCGAGCGCCTTGGGGATTCACACTCGCATGTGTGAGTCTTGTGTAGGGAACTACTATGCATCCAATTTGTCTGAGACTAGAGGCCACCCCGATGATGATTAGAGATAGGTCCCTGAATCATGATTGAATGCGTTTGTATTTGCATGGGCTCCTATAGTGGGGCCACTTACCGAGTATTCTTCGAAATACTTAGGTTGTGTGCCAGATCATTTTTTAGGTAAATGCAAGGTGCACTTGTATGGAGGGCAGCGGCATCGCGAGTAGAGATTGTGGCTCGTTCATAGGGTAGACTCATATTTAAATTCCTAGTCTTATGTTATTAAGGTTTTTTTGCATTTCATTATTTTAAATTATTTAGTGTTTGTTTGCATTTTCTTTAAATTTCAGTATTTCATATTTAAACATGTAAGACCATGACTGTGTGTTTCAGAAAAGAAGTTGTTTTAAGCATTTTTCGAACTTTATGTTATAAATGATGTTCATGTAAGAGTTCTACTTCCGCATTATAGATGAACATGAGACGTTAGTAGCAATTCTGAGTACTTGGAAATTTAGGGTGATTACAAAGCAAAACTTGAAACATTGGTTTGGATTTTAGATTTCCAAGAAATAATTAAATTTACCAGTAATATGCAAAACTTTGATCTCGACATTGGTTTGTTTTTAAGACTTTAAAAAAAAAAAAGTTGAATTTCACGGAAAGATGCAAAACCCAGCAATAGACCGATGTATTCAGAACTTGAAAGGTTGTCTCCCAATGTGGTTTTATTAGTTCATGCATAAATGATTTACTCAAGGATTAGTATTTTTCCCATTTAATTGGATTGGAACAAGTAAATATACTGGTTGATCTGAATGATGAATGTAATAAGGACGTGTTAAATTAATATTTGAAATTTTGAAGCTAGATTTGGCTAATTCCGCCAAAAAGAAAATTTGGATATTTAAGAACACTAAGAAATCGATGTTCCCTTGAATCACTTGAGAGTTTGCTCATCATCAAATCATTTCATTACTGAATCCCGTAAAGATGTGAAAGAAAATACGAACATCTTGAGTATGCCACCTTTAAGCTTTGGTGAGAAATTTGAAGATACTTGTCACGTAGTCTTGAGATGAGGAGAATAATTGAGAACATCCGTAGCCAATTCAAGATCCAGATTGAGATTTGAAGGCTACCTGCTGGTGTCGAAATTTGGATAGCTCGCCACAAACATCTTAATATGAATATGTTCTTGATTTTATTGTTGGGAGAAAAAATATCGTGATTTGTGGTGCTCAAAAAGAGACAATAGTTATAGAGACCAGAAATTAAAACTTTTGAGATGTGGGCTTAAAAGGATGTATATCTTGTGAAAGGTGAACCCAATTCATTTGTCGTCCTCTATTTCGATCACTTTTCTTCTGTTCTTTCTCTTCTCCTGCGACACATGTTAAGAATGATTCTCTGTTACCATGTTAAGGATGAGAAACGGTGGGATTAAAAGTCCAAGCTTTATTAGTGTTTACCGTTTAAATAAGATACAAACTATCAACTAACCTCTAAAAAAATGATTCTCTGTTACCATGTTTACCGTTTAGTAAGCTAAAAGTCGGTGAAGCATGAGAACCAATACGAGTTTCACGTAATTGTTTGCTGTGTTTATACTTACCCGGATTGGTAAACCAAAAAAAAAGTAGTATTACGTATATTTTATTGTATCTAAAACAAAATGTATTTAAAACTTGACCTTATTGCCGGTAAGCAAAAGGTGCTGTTATTTATGTTTGCAAGCTAGTACATTCTTTTCATATTGGATCATAACACAAACTCTGGCCTCTCAAAATCAAAATAAGTGTAGTCTGAGTTCGAGAGAGAGGATTTCGATCATGCGCAACCACATCCCTTTGCTCCAATCCGAACGCCTTTCACGAGCAGCCCCCTCTTCCAATGCCCTCCATGTTCAAAAAAGGCAAACTCGATCTCGCCGCTACTTCCACAGCCATGGTTGCCTACCTTGAACTCAACAACAATCTCAAACCACTGGTTTTGTGGCTTCCCCAACAGGCATTCCTGGCGCGCTATCTTGCTCCCATCTGGCTTCTTCAACTCGATGTTCAGTGGAGCATTCCACCCGGAGGCTCTACTATTCAGCTGTACCTGAAGTGCTACCTCATACACAACATTTTGTGAGAGCATAGACTCGTTGATCTTTCCACGAATGTCCAGCCAAGATACTTCAATAAGCTCTGCAACGTTGCTATCGCCACTGCAAGTGTTTAGACACCCGAGTGAGAGAGATCAGGAAATCAAGTTCTTATCATTTTTTCCCCTTGAGAAATTAGTTAAAAAATTATACCAGGATCCCCATTTCCAGTATCTCTTATCTTCAATCCAAGCTATTGAGAGAGCTCTTGCAAATATAAAGTACCAGTTGCTGTTTGACTTCTTATCAAAGATGTACTTCTGCATTCAAAGTAAAGAAAGCCAATATTCTGATTTAATATGGTTATGATATACAAAGCTGAGTAAAATGAGTTGAAGTATATATGGTTGCACTTACTATAGCTCCCTTGTTCAAGAGGATCCCAGCAACAAGTTGGTCATAAAGCTTAAGGAAGGAGGGATAGTGCAGTGCTACGTCAGCATTCTTCAAAATAACATCCAAGCAATGACCGAGCTTCACTTCTCCTCCTAATTTCTCTCTGGCTTCCTTCTCTTTGTTGTCCATTGCAGTG